GCGGGGGCGGCTGGAGAAGAGCGTGGCGGAGCGGCGCCGCAGATGCTCGGTGCCCGCCGCTCGGGATGCCCGGGGAGAGGGGGTGGGCGCGGTGTCTTGCTCAAGGGCGCCTGGAAATACTCCCTTCTTACGCTTGGATCCAATTACGGCTCCGAGTTTAGAGTTGTACGAAAAGTCGTGCCGAGGCAAACTTTCACGAGATGGCTTGTCTGAACGTTTTGGTGTTCAAATACACCGCGTTTCATTTGTTTGTTTTACGTGCCAGTTTTGCGGTGAATTTCAACAGAGAGGGATAAATAAACAGCTTGAAGCAAGAATGCTTTGCTTCTTATTTGGAGAAGTGGGAGAGTCTGGATCAGGATTACTTTTAAAACGGTGTTTTAATACCGGGGGGGCCAATATTGTGCGTCTTGTACTCGTACTCTGACACCAATACCGCTTTTTTACGATCCTGACATAATTTCTGGGGTGGGCGTCATGTTCCGCCGTTCGCTTTAACCTTCAGGCGGTGACACCACATAGCTCAAATGTTTTGCGTTGCAGGCTAGAGTGGAGCAGCACTACATTATCAAGTATCGGTACTTAGTATTGGCGGGTACTCAAACATCAGTACTTGTACTCGCCCCCCCCCAAAAAAAAAACGATCTCACGCTCAAAAGGAAAGCCTGCATGTTTTTTGCATTTACATTCCGATTTAAATCCAACTTGTGCAGTCGGACGCGTCGCACGCGACCGCCCGGACCGACGTTTGCCGCGCCGCAACAGTTTGGGGTCGCGGAGGCAGGTCATGTGTCACGACTGCAGAAAAACCATCGCGATCGGATCTCCTCGGCCCGGCAGCTGGTGTGGGACGTTTGACTGACGGCGGCCGGAGTTCACCCGGCGCACGCCGCGGCCACCGTTCTCCGGGAGCGAGCTTCCCCCCCCCTGCCGTGGCGCTGGCGGCGAGCTGGAACCGACTGAATGATTACTCCGGGAAAAGCCTGGCGTGAAATCTAATTAAGGCTATCTGCGGCATCGGGGAGCTCCGCCGTGGTGGAGGAGACCATCCCGGACTCCAACGCGAGCGGCCGAGTTGCCTTGCGGAAAGAATGTCCGGATTCCTCTGTGACGAAGATATGTATGCTATGCTCATCTTTAAAAAAAAATAAATACATAAAAAAATAACGCGCCTCTAATCTCTGAAATAGGTGGCGAGATAAGAACGCGACATGTCGCGGTTTATCTCCAAATATGTCAGGCGGGACGGCGATGCAGCACAATAGATAAACGGAGGCCGCGTCGGCACGGAGCTCGCGCCGATGAGATTCTTGGAAACGATTCCGTCACACGTCGATATTCGACTTGGGGCCATCTGCCGTGCCGTTTTTTTGGGTGGCTTCGCTTGAAAAATGTATCCGCAAATATCCACGAGCCGCAGAATGTCAAGTATTTCTCGTAATATTGTATTTTAATTACAATGGTTTATAGAGGTAAAGAGGTGACTTCCTCCTTTGTTCATCGGAGTAAACTCCGCGGCACGGAGCAGCAAAAGAAAAAAAAAAAAAACACACACACACAAAGGCGGCAGACTCGTAATTGTCATCGATGCCTCCTGGCCCAACGCCTGGGCTGCCTGCCAAGCTAACACAGGTTTGTCAGCATCGGGAACGCGGCGCACTATTAATGGTCCATGGCGGTGACGTTATGCAACACGGGACGGCCTGAGAGAGACGTGCGCGGAGCGGCCGCAGATGCTCGGGGGCCGCCGCTCGGGATGCCCGGGGAGAGGGGGTGGGCGCGGTGTCTTGCTCAAGGGCGCCTGGAAATACTCCCTTCTTACGCTTGGATCCAATTACGGCTCCGAGTTTAGAGTTGTACGAAAAGTCGTGCCGAGGCAAACTTTCACGAGATGGCTTGTCTGAACGTTTTGGTGTTCAAATACACCGCGTTTCATTTGTTTGTTTTACGTGCCAGTTTTGCGGTGAATTTCAACAGAGAGGGATAAATAAACAGCTTGAAGCAAGAATGCTTTGCTTCTTATTTGGAGAAGTGGGAGAGTCTGGATCAGGATTACTTTTAAAACGGTGTTTTAATACCGGGGGGGCCAATATTGTGCGTCTTGTACTCGTACTCTGACACCAATACCGCTTTTTTACGATCCTGACATAATTTCTGGGGTGGGCGTCATGTTCCGCCGTTCGCTTTAACCTTCAGGCGGTGACACCACATAGCTCAAATGTTTTGCGTTGCAGGCTAGAGTGGAGCAGCACTACATTATCAAGTATCGGTACTTAGTATTGGCGGGTACTCAAACATCAGTACTTGTACTCGCCCCCCCCCAAAAAAAAAAACGATCTCACGCTCAAAAGGAAAGCCTGCATGTTTTTTGCATTTACATTCCGATTTAAATCCAACTTGTGCAGTCGGACGCGTCGCACGCGACCGCCCGGACCGACGTTTGCCGCGCCGCAACAGTTTGGGGTCGCGGAGGCAGGTCATGTGTCACGACTGCAGAAAAACCATCGCGATCGGATCTCCTCGGCCCGGCAGCTGGTGTGGGACGTTTGACTGACGGCGGCCGGAGTTCACCCGGCGCACGCCGCGGCCAGGATGTCCGCGGTCACGCTCGTCTGGAATAGACGGAGACAATTAGCGGGAATGGCGGCCAGCGTCTACTGACGAGGATCCCCCACCCCCACCCACCCTTGCCAGCT